TGAGGTTGGCCCAGGATCGGACATTGTCTCATTCTGCTGTCCATGGGGTCGCTATGAGTTGGTTCTGACTCAATGGCACCTGACAACAACAACAACAATTCCCACCCCCCTTGATTAAGAATGATAATACTTTTAAGTATTTTTTCCTTTTATTGGGCGAACTATGATCCATAAAATATGAAAGTCTATACATTTACCTTAAATAATAGTTAACAGTACACATTCACATACCACCATCCAAGTAAAAACTGAAACATGACTCCTTCAAATCACAACTCTTCCTCCTTAGTGATTACTACTACTTGACTTTATAATAGACGTTTCAAGTTTCAAAGTTTAAAATCACCATTAGAAAGGACAACCAGAACAGCCTGAAACAACTAGAGGAACAGAAGATATTTCTTGAAAGAAAAATCAGCAGGAAAAATCCAAAACAAAAATGGGGGTATGATTGGCTTACTACAAGAACAAGCAAATTGTTTTCAGGGAAGCCATCAAGGCAATTAATCAAGTCCCTTCAGGACAACGCCCCTCCAAGATTGAAACTCAAAAAGAATACATGAGCATGCATGTAATATTGCTGTGACCACAATGATCTACTGGTGAGTGGAAGAGGGGAAAAGGCAGCAATGAAGAAATGGACTGAGTCCAACCACTTTCCATAGGATCCTAGTGACCTGGAGATGAGAGAGAGAAGAGGAAGGGTTGGTTGTCTGAAGTGTTGTGAGACCTGGGGACTCCTAAGCCCATGGACAAGGACATAGCCACGGAGGGCTAGAATTGATAGTGAAGCATCCAGCTGATATGAAGTGAGGGGAGATGCACAAGAACACTCAAACTTGTTGATATTACCCATTTGACCTAGCCTCGATGGTTGATGATCAGAACTTGACTATAGGAAGATAAAAAAAAAAACAATTTTTAATAAAGGACTCAAGTGTAAATTGCTAAAATTTGATGAACTTGACCTATACTTATGGATGCTGTTGTTGTTTAGTGCCATCGAGTCGATTCTGACCCACAGCAACCCTGTATCGGGTTTCCGAGGAGCAGCTGGTGAACTTGAACCACCGACCTTGTAGTTCAAACAGCTTTGCAGTCTGGTGCATTAACCCACAGTGCCACATGGATGCAGTAGTTCAAAATACCAATTGAGAGGGAAGGAGATTTCACATCAAGTATCAATCCTAGTCCCTCTGTGTACAGGGTAGATGTTGTTGTTATGTGACTGGAGTTGGTTCCAACTCATAGCGACCCTGTACAGGGTTTCCAAGGCTGTAAATCTTTACGGGAACAGAAAGCCTCATCTTTCTCCCGTGGAACAGCTGGTAGTTTCAAACTGCTGACCTTGCGGTTCACAGCCTGATTCGTAACCACTACGCTACCAGAGTTCCTTACAGGGTAGATAGGGATGGGTAACTTAGACAATGGCTCCCTAAAATGAGGGTGTAATAAAAGCACAAAGGGACTGGCTTACAAGTTTTCAAGAGGAAGTTTTAGTTTCAGAGTGTGGGGGGAAGGTAGAGTCCCCACTGAATAATATTCATCTTGTCTAGAAGGGTCTGGTGAAAAGAGATGGGGATAAGATTCTTATGATTTAATAATGAGTAATTGTTATCATGATTAATTGTGACTGTCACAACTGTAAAGGTAGAAGTTTTGTAACAAAAATGGGGAGGTGGTTAATCTTACAGTCCAGAAACAGAGGATGCTAGGACCATCAAGGGAGAAGA